AATGATAAAGTCAATTTATAAAATTATTAATGATATAACATACTTAGATAAGACTATAGTTGTTAGATAAAACCTAAAAAAAGAAATTATGACAATGAACTTTATTGTTATAATTTTCTTTTTTGGGTTTCACCTAACAATTATAGATAAGACCAACTTGGTTTTGTGTTTTATATTACTCTTTTCAGTATTTCCTTCTCTTCATTATAGTAAAAAAATTTAAATAAATATACATAAAACTATGAGCTATTTTAGAAACTTTTTATATAATCATGAAACAATTTAGAAAAAATTTTTCAAAAAAAAATTTTTTAAATTTTATTATATAAATCACAACCTTCTTCTTTTAAAAAGAAGAAAGAGGTAATATAAAATACAGAATCAAGTTGGTCTTGCCTTACTATGTAAATATAAATTTACTATATAAATTATATAATAAATAATCTACATGTACTTTATTTTTAAATTTAAAGCTTTTAATGAATATAGTAATACTAATAGTGATCTGTGAATTCTAAATATTGCAATATTCTAATAATCAATTGAAAACATTTTAAATCCAATTGTAAATTTAAGTTTCTACAAACATACTGCAACATTAATAAACAATTATATAATTATTGCTTTTGATAAGATTTTTTATTTTATACATATCAACAAAGATTTTTTATTTAAACTTGCTAATATTTATTTGTTTATTTAGACACATTATCAGAAATATTTATATTAGATGTAAGCCAAAAAAATTCTTATAGATGGGTTACTGAATTTACTCCAAATATTACAACTACTACAATCACTACTGCTACTCCAAGTAGTATAATTGGTTCAAATTTTAGCTTAATTATTATTATTACAATCATCTGTACTGTTATTTTTTTGTTATAGTCATTCTTACTATACTAAGATTTATTGATCAATATAAATAAAACTTAATGAGTTGATATTTTGTTAAATACTGAAATTTTACAAACAAAAAAATAAAAATTTTAATTTATATGATTGTTTATTACCCTTTAGGAAGATATCCTAAAAGGATATACATAAAAACTTTATATATATCATATTAAAAATTTTACATGTTATATATTAATGATATATGTAGCTTCATTATAAAGATTCTTATACAGTAATAGACATTACAGTCTAACCTCGATATGATTATGAGGTTGGTAACCAAAATTCAATATGAATAAGATAATAGTGCCTATATGGAGATTAATTTCTTATATTTTATAATCCAAAAAATGCAATTTTTTATAGGCAAATGATTTTTGTACATCAAATTCATATACATCAATTTTTTTTGACCAATAAAATCGCAGCGTCCTTTTTTATACCAAAATTTGACAATAATTTGCATATATTAGTTTTATATACATCAAAATTTATAAACAGATAATTGTTTTTTTTTTTATGAAATTATTAAAATATTTCAGCACATCAAATACTTAAAATATTTCAATTAGTAATCATGATCGAAAAATTTTTTGACCAAGTAGATAAATTTTAGTTGATCAGGCTAATATAATGAATAGCGATAACCTTTCTTTTTTTTTTTAATACATGCATATAAAATTGATTAGCTGATTTTTTTTTAAAAAAAAACAGCTGACCAGAACAAAAAATTGTCTTAGCTAATTTTTTGGTTATTGGTTAGAATTATGTATATAGATATAGGTTGCAAAATTAATTAATCAATTAATTACAATACTATCGTATTGTTATTTTGTTATATAAAATTTTGGAATTTATTATGATTATGAAACAAGCAGTTATACAATAAATAAATAAAGTCACTTCATCTCTTGTTTGCATTCTTAATATAGATATAAGAATTTTTATATTTGCAAACTATTTACAATATACATTACCTTTTTATAATGCTAAATTATTATTTGCTTCAAAATTAAGCTGAAATTTAAATAAATTATGCAAATGCAACATTTTTAGACATAAAGGCCTTAACAAAAAAAACAAATAAGACAACATATGAATCTAAACAAAAAGATTATACCAATCTTCAGAAAAGCCTAAATGATGACAAATAGGTAAATACTGAGGATTTAAAGGTGAAACCTATATGCTCTTATTTTGTTTGAGCTTAACCAATACAATATGAAATACAATATGACTATGCCTATACCAGTGCAAAATA